AATATTTTGAATTCCCCAAATCAACATTTTCTTACAATCACCAATGGACTAAGTTTTTCTCAGTAACCTGTGAAATTTCCTTAAATTATATATTTAACAGAGAAACTTGACTATTTCTTTATAAAAGGCTGCTTTCACCTGAAATGCTATCACAAGAACTTAATCTCAGCAGTTGGATGGGTTGAGGGAGAAGAAAAACCCAAGTTCTTGCCAAGCCTGGGCTACATAATGAATTCCAGGCCACTTGAACTACACAGGAAATCCCTGTCTTAAAAAAACCAAAGGAAAAATAAATCAGAGAGGATGATCTGAATATGTAGAAAATAATGCACTTAGGTTTGATCATGTGATACGCTAAAAAATTTTCAAATTATATTCCTATTACAAGTATATTTATAATACCACTGAAGCAACTATGAATGTGACAAAAATGTTCTACAATCCCTTCAGAAAAACAAAGAACAGCACTCTTATTTCTCAAATCTAAAAAAGTAAAGAGAAATTTCTCTTCCCATTTTTTGGGACATACTGTAGAGTTATAGTCATTTAAGTCTGAATATGAGATAACATTTAGACACACTACATTTGCAAGAGATATTAAGAAATACTTCTGCTTTATTCTAAAGTGAGATTAGATACAGTTGGGAGTACAAATCAAGAGGAACAAGTGATTGATCATATATTTATGGTGGCAAATTGTACATTTTGTGGGCCAAGTAAACCTGATTTTTTTCATTACAAACATTCAAAGGCGCACTCCAGGCAGATATAAGGCAAAGATATGAAATAAGAAACTGTAAAACACGGAAAAAGATATCAGAAAATCACTTTCTCATGTGGAAAGCTATTCAGATGTAAGTTTGTAAAGGCACAAATGTTAAGGTGACCATAAAAAGAAACAAAAAAGGTATCACAATTTCTGTTCAGCAAAGAATATCCTTGATAAAGTCAACATGCAGATTAAAAATTATTCAAGGTATTTTCATTCTCTACAAGTGATGTCACTAGAAGAGAAAATAATTTATTAAAAATCTATCCAACACAAATATGAACTCATAAGCAAATAGATTACAGAAGAGCTTACAGAGGAAAGGGGAAAAAGGAATAAAAGACAAGAAAAATGGAAAGGAATATCAATTCAAATCAGTAAAATTAATCAAATTTGAAAACATCTGGAGTTTGTCAGGAAGACAAATAGGAATTATTGCCCCCAGCGGTGGTAGTGTGGATGGTGTGCAATAGATTTTAAATTGCTACACACTACACTAGCAGGCATGCTTCTGAGCATCAGTGGCATTTCCTCTAATCTGTTTCTAGGGCAGCAAGAAAGCAAAAAAAGTAGCCCAGGCTGGCCTTGAACTCATAGCAATCCTTCTTATACAGCCTCCCCTGTGCTGGGATTACAGGCATGCAACACCATGCCAGATGCTTTTTCACTTCTCCTCTACCCCCTCATTGCCTTTTAGGTTCTATTGGAGCTAAAACCCACAAAGGTCACTACAGCTTTTTTGGGGGGGGGGGAGGGTCACGGGGATCGAACTTGGGACCTTGAGCTTTCGAGGCAGGCTACAGAACCACTGAGCTAAATCCCCAGCCCTACAGCTTGTGCTATGGCGACACACACCGGGGATGTAGATGCCAGACTAGGGGTGAGTGAACTAAAGCTCTGCTTTATCTCAGGTGTGCCTTTCTCCAGAGGATATTCCCATGGACTTCTATAGGATTCCAACATGAGAGTTGTCCAAAGACTGTGGGGAATTCAGAACTCAGGTGAGGGGGGCGTTCAAGGACTGCAGACCCCAGCCACATATGAAACACAGAGGAAATGCCCATGGTCATCTCTTTCCCTACAGTGATGTAAATCACTGCAAAGAAAAAAGAGCCCAAGTCTGGAAGGTGACAATTCTAGGCAGACAGGAGTTCAGGCCATTAAGGCAAAGAAGAGGCAGGAGAAAACCAGAGAAAGATAGAGTAGAAAGCCAAATACTTTCTAAAAGACTGAGGCAGAAGGAATGGTTCCCATAATCAGCACAAAAGAGAAACCTAAATGGATGTGTTCTCAGTTCAGGGTTGGTGTCACATGGTCAAAATGATCGGCTCTGTGTCTGACCAAGGATAATTTCTATCCCCTTTCCTCTTGAAACAAGTATGACCAGAGTGCTCTACCTCTCTATAGTAATAAAAAAAGCAAATCAACAACCAAGCCAAGCCAAACCAAAACCAGAAAACAAAAGCCACCACACTGATTTTTTTTTTAAATCAAAACACTATTCATAATGTATCCCAGTTCAGTTCCTTGAAAGAACTTAATTAATACAGAACTCAACACAGGGTATTAACTGATAAATTTCATATTCTACAGAGAAGCACTGTACAAAGAGTTGAAGGAATGAGTCTGCACATTCTGCTTGAGTTACCAAAGGAAAATGTCTTGATCAACCCACAGGCTGTTCAAAATATAATGTATTGAAAATTCACTGAACATATATATAACCTAGCAAACACTGCTAATCCCTGGCTCCTTTAAAACTGATATGCACATACATTAACCTGTATTTGAGAAAATGTATGTGACACATAGCTAATTTCATGATAAAATACTAAATATCCCATGTAATTTATTGGATGTGCTGCATTGTAAATCATGGGACTTTTTTCCTTGGGGTCCTGTCACTGACAGAGCAGGGACTCACTGCTGCTGCCCAGCATCTGGAGCAAGTATTATAGCACAAACCACTAGTGTGCAAACAGCATAAAATTCCAAATCAAAATAAATTTCCCACTGAGTATTATCACTTTTTCCTTTATGCTTCAGGGCTGGACTGATTTCAGGGCCTTGCACGTGTTACACAAGTTACTTTGGATTGGAGACACAGCCCCAGTGATTTTGCTGTATGTTGGTCTGGGTCTTGCTCCGCTGTCCAGCCTAACCCTGCCTCAGTGCCCCAAGTGGCTGAGATGAAGGGTGGGCAGGCAGCACCATGCCTCACTGAAGTTTCATTAACCAAGCACAGTGATCCTGGTTAGTAATGGGGCAGAGAAACACCCATCTTAGCCAGGCATGTGGCACATGATCAAAAGTTTACCGCAGGGGCCAGGGATTTAGTTCAGTGGTCCGCTGTCTGCCTTGCAAGCTCAAGGACCGGAGTTCGATCCCCGGTACCAAAAAAAAAAAGTTTACTGCACCCTGGGGAATACAGTGAGATCTGGTCTCAAAATATTAGAAATATTAAAGGTTGGAGAATGCATTCCAAACAAAAAGTCCCTGGTTCAATCTTCTGTACAATAAAAATAACAACCACACCTAAAATCTGTTGTATCCTGGAGAAATCCCTTTCCATCACACTTAAGATGATAGCCACCAATTTTTAAGCCAGACAAGGTCAGGCAGTTTCCTAATTTCCATCTTTCCTGAAAAACAGGGACAAATGTGCTGGCAGACACCACTAGTCTCAGTACTCAGGAGGCTGAGTCAAAAGAATAGGCACAAGTTGGAGGCAAAACTGGGTTAAACAGCAAGTTTGAGGCCATCCTGAAATAGGTAGCAGAACTCTCTCAAAAAACAAAGAAATTGATTTGCTTACCTGATTAGTAGTAACAGAAGACAAATTTATCTAAATTTTACTAAGTTTTCACCTTTCTTAATGCCTCTGATATTTGACCACTCTCAGATTGAGCTAGCACATAACTCCTTTACTGTCATAGTAGAAAAATATCTGACCTCAGGGGAAGTGCCCCTCTGTTGTAGATGTGAATTTTACTATCCTCTTCCCATCCTCTTCCACTTTCTACTATTGCCTCCCCCCTGCACAGAAAATTCCTTCATCACTAACCACTCATATGGCTGCAGAGCTCACATTTCGGGCTTTACTACTACTAGAATATTCCTTTGATATAAAGTCCTTCTCAATCAGCATTTCAATACTTAAAAGTGTCTACAGTCCAAGGTCTACAGCAATTATCTGAGGTGCTGCCCCTCTGCTTTTCAATTCTACCGAATCAAATGGTCAGTGTAGATACTCGAGTTTAATGGCTCTAGCAGTTCCTTCTGGACCATTCTCCTGCCCTTCCTAACACATTAACATCCCCTTTATTTCTCTCAGGATTCTAAACACTATGGGAAGACCTCACATAAGTAGCCTTTCTCTTTGTAGAGGCTCCACATCAATCATTAAGATGATAACTGTTTTTGTCTTGCTGTGTTTGTTAAAACAGGAGCTCATTGCATGCTCAGCAAGCACTCTACCCCGACTCACATGGCCAGCAATATTGAATTTTGTTTTCTGTGTTTTGGGTTTTTTGTTTTGTTTTGGTCTTCTTACTTATTCACTGAAAGTCTATGTAGTTCAGGCTGGACTTGGTCTCACTAGGTGGCCCAGGGTACACTCAAACTCCCAGCGAACTTGCTGCCTCAGCCTGCTGAGTGCTGGGATTACAGGTGTGCACCTGCACGCCTGGCGATCCTTTCTTTTAATTCTCATGGCATTAATATTCACTGATTCTGAGTGTGGCACTGTGGGCATACATTGCAATTTTGGCAATTTATTGCCATCACAAAGGAGCGTGGTCTGGGGACCTAAGGTGTGGCTGAGAACCTGTACCACAGACATTTATAAAACTGAGGTCCACCAGGTCAGCTGGAGGGACGCCTGAGATCAGGGATCCCGAACACCACAGTGCCCCAGCTTGACTCCCCACCGGAGGCAGGGTCTCCCCACAATTCCCACTCTCTGCGCACAGGTGGAGACGCAGCTGCGGCTGTCCCCGCACTGCACTCCAGGCCGGCAGGGGGTGGGCTGTGGAGAGACGGTGCTGGGCACACGGTGTAGACCTGCCTGAGGCAGGGTGGGAGGTCAGAGTGTCCACGGCGCCGAGACCAGGAGCAGCTCTGGTCCCAGCAGCGTGGAGGCGCCGGCGCCATTGCTGTTCCCACCGCTTCCGCCCAGGCCTCGCCCCTTCCCGTCCTGTCCCGAGTCAGGGCACCCGTTGCACAACCTCACCATTGCTGCTGGAGGGTCTCCCCGGGTGCTTCCCGCAGCCTGCAGCCAGTAGAAATCCTAAACCAGGACGGCCTAGCCAGCTGGGCGGCTCTCAGCGCCGTGCTCAGGATCCGGGCTTTGGCGCCAGGAAACAGAACCCGCCTTCCCCGCCACCTGATTGGACAGTTCATACAGCCCGCCCCTCAACGCTGACTGGCTCCTGCTCCACTGCCCGCCCTCTGAGCTGAGAGTGACAACAGAAGCCGATCTTTAGCAGAGTGAGTGAGATTCTAATCTGGACACTTCTTGATCAGTTTGTCTCCCAGAATGTTGACCTGACCCAGCTTACATTTCAGAAGAGTTTACTCCTGGCTTGGCAGAGCTGGTTCTGTCTTGTTTTGTTTTGTTTTTATGACACGTCTTGGTATGTAATTTAGTCTGTTATTGAACTCACTGTGTAGCTCAGGCTAGTCTTGAGCTCGCTGTGATCCACCTGCTCCTGTCTCTCCAGTGTTGATTTTATAGTGATGCACCACCATGCCTGGTTACTCCAGTATTCTTACTGGACTCAGTGGGACCTTCCTGCGTGTTGCTCTTCCGAATGGGGTCACCAGTCTGTTAAGCCAGTTCCAGAGTTAATTCACCATGGAGAAATCACTGTGAGAGGGCGTCTCTAATCCAGGGAAAACAAGGACACAACACTGTTCTGAGAGGAGTGACATTAGAAATAGGGTTGTTGGCTTCATGGACAAGATTTCTCATGCTGTATCTCTTGATTTACTCATTCTAAGCTAATTAATTAATTTAAAATATATATATACATATTGTGAGACCAAAGTGAACCTAAGAAACGCCATCTTGGCCTGTAGATGAACTCCCTTCGTACCCCTCCTCTTACAGAGTGCTGAAATTCCCCTCATTTTTGTAACCGCTCGCTCTGCTTCTGTAAACTTGCTTCATCACTTCTCGGAAAAGGTTGGTGCCTGGTGCCTCCCTCTTACCACAAAATGCCCCTAACCTGACAAGATAGCAAGATAGCTGAGTTGTGAAAAATATTTTGCAACTGGTTAAGAACATGTTGACCCCACCCCCACCCCGCCCTTGAACTTCTTTAAATAAAACCTATAAAAGCTGTGCTGTTCCCTGCCTCGGGGCTTCACTCCTATTAGAAGGTGGAGTCCACGGGCGTGAATAAGCTCCTTTCAGTTTTAACTTTGTCGTTTGTCCCAGTGTTTGGTGATCTACTGGCTTGCTTGGCACAACACATATGCCAAAGAAAGGCATATGGTTGCTGAATAAACACACTCTCTGGTGTTGAGGAAGGGAAACCTAAGGACTTCAGACTGTCCCTGTGCCCTGCAGTTCCCTCCTCAAAAGTTGCAACTCTGTATTTCTGCAAAGTAATATTGCCAGAAGGAAACTATTACCCGGAGTCATGTGACACTCACCCAACTAACTCACCAGCCACTGCAGTCCATAGTGTTCACTGCTTCGTTCTGCTGGCATGTTTCTCCATGCAGGCCTTGGGTCACCAGTAGTCAGAGTGCACCTGCAGGTCCGAGCTGCTCCTCCTACACAGTGAGTCAGGGCTCAGGGGGAAAGTGCTGCTTGCCACCTCCTTCACTGAAGTCTCTCTTTGCTCTCCCCATGTGCTTCAATTCTCAATCCAGATCCTTCCTGGGTCCCAGGGACTCATGTCCCTCCTTATTTTCTTCCTCACCTTGCTATATTCCGGAGTCTGAACATCCAGTCTCAAGAGGTTGTTTCTCTGCTGTTCACCGCTTTCCCATACTTCCCAGAAGTCTCTCATGGTTTACTACTGATGAGGGAATCCAGAGGCTTAGGGAAATGTGAGTGCTGGAATGAACTTTTCAAGTCAATCCTAATTTGCCACATCATTATGGCCCTACAGTAAGAGGAGGGGCCTATGAAGGTCATGTGACCAATGGAGTTCTACCAGAGGCCCAACTCACTGTTGGTCCAGTAAGTCCTCAAATTCATCCTGTAGTTATATCCATGGTTCCAGAATGGACAGTTGGGATAGATATAATTAGTACTTGGTAGAACACTTACTTTAGCTCAGAAATCTGTATCATGAAGGCTATTATAAATGGAAAAGCCAAATGGAAGCCTTTAGAGTTGCCTTTGCTGGGAAAAATATTAAACAAAAACAATATCGCTTTCCTGGAGATACTGCGGAGACTATTGCCATTATCAAGGACTTGAAGGATACAGGGTTGGTTGTTCCCAATGCATCTCCATTTCATTCATTGATATGGCCTGTGCAGGAGATGGATGGACCTGGAGAATGGTGGTACATTACCACAAAGTGAATCAAGTTGTTACTCCAATTGAAGCTGCTTTACTAGATGTGGTGTCTGTCCTTGAGAAGATTAACACATCTCCTGTTACTTGGTACACAGCTATTGACTTGGCAAATGTCTTCCTTCTCCATACCTATCCATAGACTCATCAGAAACAATTTATTTTTAGCAAGCAAGGCCAGCAATACACTTTCATTGTCCTATCTCAGAGTTATATTCGCTCTCCAGCCCCATGTCACAACTTAGTTTGCGGGGATCTTGATCACCTTTCTCTTCCACAAGGCATAACACTGGTCCATTACATTGATAATGTTAGGCTGACTAGACCAAGTCAGCAGGAGGTACCAACCACTCTGGTCTTGTTAGTAAAGAATTTGAAGGGCTGAGGATTTAGTTCAGTGGCACCACATCTGCCTTACAAACACAAGACCCTGAGTTCTATCTCTGGAATCACACACACAAAAAAAGAATTTGAGAAGCAGAGGATGGGAAATAACTTCCACTAAAATTACAGGTCTTCTTCCTCAGTGAAATTTCTAGGAGTCAAATAGTGTGGGCCATGTAGAGATTTCACTTCTAAGATAAAAGATAAGTTGTTGTTCAGGCTTGTCCTACAATGAAAAAAAGAGGGACAAGGCCTCATGGGCCTATTTGGATATTGGAGTCAACACATTCCTTACTTAGGTGTTTAACTCCAGCCTGTGTACTCAGTGACTCAGAAAGCTGCTAGATTTTTTTTTTGTTACCAGGGCTAGATAGAACTTGGGACCTTGAGCTTGCAAGGCAGGTGGTGGAACCACTGAGCTAAATCCCCGGCCCAGAAAGCTGCTAGTTTTGAGGGTGATCCTGAACAAGAAAAGGCTCTAACAGGTCCAGGCTTCTGTGCAAGCTTCTCTGATAATGGGTTCATAGGATCCAGCAGATCCAATGGTATTTCAAGTGTTGATGGCAGGTAAGGGAGTTGTTTGTAGTCTCTGACAGGTCCTTCTAGGTAAATTGCTACAGAGATCTTTAGGATTTTGGAGCAAAACTCTGCCATCATCTGCAGACAACTACTCTCCCTTTGAAAAATAGATCTTGACCTGCTACTGGGCCTTAGTGGAACTGAATGCTTGACCATGGGGCAGAAGGTAACCATGCAACCTGAGCTGCCTGTCATGAGCTGGGTATTATCTGATCCACTGAGTCACAAGTTGGACATGCAGACCAACAGTCTATCACTAAATGGAAATGGTATATGCATGATCAAGACAGAGCAGGTCCAGAGGGTACAAGTAGGAAGGAAGTTCTTCAGATGCCTATGACTCCTACTACTGATATATCACCTTCTGTTTCCCAACATGCACCTCCAGCCTCATGGGGTCTACCATATGATCAACTGTTAGAGGAAAAAAAGGCTAGCCACTGTTTAGGGATGGTTCTGCATGTTATGCAAGCACCAACAGCAAGTGGACAGATGCAGCATTACAACCCCTTTCCAGGACATCCCCAATGGTAAGGGAAAATCTTAACAGTGGGCAGAACTTTGAGCAGTGCACCTGGTAGTACATTTTCCCTGGGAGGAAAAATGGCCAGCTATCCAACCATATACTGATTCATGGGCTATAGCCAATGGCCTGGTCAGGTGTTCAGGAACTTGGAGGAACATAACCGGAAAATTGGTGATAAAGTTGTTTGGGGAGGAGGTATGCAGGTAGACCTATCTATATGGCAAAGATGTAAAAATATTTGAAATTTTCTTTTGTTTTGTTTTGGTGCCAGGGATCGAACTCAGGATCTTGCACTTCCAAGGCAGGCATGACACCACTGACCTAAATCCCTGGCCCTATAAATATATTTGTAGCCCCTGTAAATGCTCACCAAAAAGTGACCTCAGCAGAAGAAGACTTTAACAATCAAGTAGATAAGATGACCTTTTCTGTAGACAGTCGTCAACTTCCCTCTTCAGCCACCCCTGTCATTGCCCAATAGGCTCATGAACAGAGTGGCCATGTTGGCAGGGATGGCTTTTATGCAAGCTCATAAACATGGACTCCCACACACCAAGGCTTATCTAGCTATAGCCACTGCTGAATGCCCAATATGCCAGTAGCAGAGACCAACACTGATTTCCCAGTATGGCACCATTCCCTGGGGTGATCAGCCTTTGACCTGGTGGCAGATTGATTATATTGGACCACTTCCATCATGGAAAGGAGTGTGCATTATCCTTATTGGCAAAAATACCTATTCTGTAAATGGATTTGCCTTTCCTGCATGTAATGCTTCTACCAAACTCCCATCCATGGAATCACATAATGCCTTATCCAGTATCGTGGAATTCCACACAGCATTGGCTCTGACCCCAAGGAGCACATATAATGTCCAAAGAAATGAGGCAATGGGCTCCTGCTCATGGAATTCACTGGTCTTACCATGTTCCTCTCTATCTGGAAGCATCTAGATTGACAGAAAGGTGGAATGATCTTTTGAAGATACAGTTGCAGCACCAGTTAGATGACAGTAGCTTGCAGGGCTGGGGCAAGGTTCTTCTAAAGGCTGTATATGCTTTGAGTCAGCATCCACTATGTAGTACTGTGTTTCCCTGGCCAGGATTCATGGCTGCAGCAATAAAGGGGTGGAGGTAAGAGTGGTACCAGTCACTATTATCCATAATGATCTACTAGCACAATTTTTGCACTGTGTTATCATGACTTTATGCTTTTTTTGGCTTAGAAAGAAGTCTTAATTCCAGAGGGGGAAGGCCTGCAACAGGAAGTGCAACAATGACACCATTGAACTGGAACCAAAGACTTCCCCCCCGGTGATTTTGGTCTCCTTATGACTCTGAGGAAACTAGCTAAAAAGGGTGTTACTAGTTTAAAAGGGTATTGAGAGGGGTGACTAACTCAGACTGTCAAGGG